TGTCAATGCAAATCCCTACTAAACTACCCCCTATATTTCTCAGTATAGGCACTCTCACTGGGAAGCTTGAAAAATACAGTCATATAAAGTCAACTGTAAATATAATTTTAAACTACTTGAAAGTATTTGTGAGAGAAATAGTAATAATCTAAAAGATCAAAAGCCTGAGGAGAGAAGAGAGAATAGTTCACCTCTTACAGAATGTCTGCCCCTGTCTCACTAAATTTATAATCCATCCAAGATCAGTCCAGAACCTTTAGAAATAATGTTTTAAAATATTTGCTAATATAAGCCAAAAAATACCACAGTATATAGAGAGTACATTTGAGGCAGGCAGTCTCATCTTGGAAAATTTGTAAGACCAAGAAATTAACCAGAATTAACCTATCTCTATATGTAATGCAAGTATTAGTTTGATATAATTTTGGGTGTAATTTATAAATATATATTTGCATTTTTTTCTTTGTGTATAGATCGAGTTAAAGCTACTATGTACAAAACAACTTATAAGTGTCTTTAAAGGAAAGTTGGGGGCTGGAACGTTGGTTCAGAGATTAAGAGCACTGATTGTTCTTGCAGAGAACTCAAGTTTGATTCCCAGCTCCCAAATGGTGGCTAACACCCATTCATAATTCTATTTCAGTGGAATTTGACTCTTCTGACCTCTGAGGGCACTTCACGGCATGGGTGCACTAACATACATGCAGATAATACTCTCATCCACATAAAAATAGAAATAATAAATGAAATATTTTTAAAAAAGAAAATTTTCACTGAAGGATGGAAAGATAGCTCTGTGGTTAAGAACACTGACTTCTCTTGTAGAAGACCCTGGTTCAGTTCCCAGCACACAAATGGGCTAACCACCATTTGTAACACCAGTTCTGGTAGAATCCAATTCCTGATTTGATCCTCCACAGGTATTGCATTTACATACATGTAGACAATACACTCATACACAAAAATGAAAATAATATATAAAATGTTTAAAAAGAACTTATAAATGCCTTTAAGGAAAATTTGAGTTGGGGACTAGATGGATGACTCAGCACATAAGAGCACTGGCTGCTTTAGTAGAAGACCCAGATTAAATTCTCAGCACCCACACTGTGGGGACTTAAAGGCCCCACCTTGCATAGGTCTGAAAGGAAGTTACTGGGGGCATGGCCTGGCTTGCTTTGAAAGTCTGAAGAATACTTCAGCACTGCTGAGGAGTGCATGATCAGCATGTGACCATCCTTAAGAAACACCCTGGGGCGGGTGGAGTTCCAGGTGCCTTTATAAGCTCTGTAATACCTGCAATAAATGAGTCCCTGCCTGACTAGACTCCCCATTGCTTCTGAGTGTCCCAGGGTATTGGGAGCGGCACAAAGGGAGTGCCTACTTATCCCCAATCATCACTGCGCCGGGGGGTCACTGGTTTGAACCCCTGGCACCACATGATGACTAACTACTGTCTGTAACTCCTGTTCCAGGAGATCTGATGCCTTCTTCTGGCCTTCCTGGGCATTGCAGGCATGTGGTGCACTTACATGCAGAAAAAGTCATATGCATAAAAATAAACAAATAAACTTAAATGTTGGTAATGAGCTTATTTTTTTTTATGTAGAAACTGTGCTATTGCTTTAAATATTTAATGTTTTTGTCACAGTGAAATGATATAAAAAATAGTAAAAACTAGAAATCTTGTTGTTCTTAATGAATTATAATCACAAATTAAAGTGACTATGGAAGAAGAGCTCAAATAGCAATGAACAATAAAATTAGTTTTTCCAGCTCCCTTGTTTTGTGCAACAGGACTTAATATATTTGTATATATTTGAATAAACAAATAATAGCACAATTTCAAAAGCATGAAATTTAAATCATGAATATTTTCGGCAGTAAATTCAGATATTATCTCTACCACATGCATTCCACTGCATTTTAATTAGCAAAAAAGGTTGCAATTAAGACCATACATCTTACTAATTCTGTGAAGAAATGAAGTGTTCCTTTTTGTTATCTCTCATAAGGAAGATTTGAAAATGTCAGAGATTGAGTTATAGGAAAAAGAGCATTTCATGGCTTAGTAATTCAGGCAATAGATACCAAGCAATGAGAAGGGGAGAGAGATAATTGAAATAGGTAAGATAGAAGAAAGACTGTGGGATAAACATTATGTGTGGAGGCAGACTCCCTAGGTAATGAGGTGATATATCTAAACTTTTGTAAAATGTGATATACAAATAGCCCTGTTTTCTAGAAACAGACAATACTTGTAACCATAAAAAGCAAGTAATCAAGAATTTATTATTCTCTAGCACAAGCAATAAGTAGAAAATTATAAGAGTGAAAGAAAGTCTTTGATACTACAGAAATGTGTTCAATATAATCTTTCTCTAACTGCAAGTCAGTTCGTGGAGAATGACAAATGTAAGAACTGATGTGCAGTCTGGTAATGGACAATAGAGATTCTGATTTCAGTCATGGACACAAGGAAGAGCCAACATTTGCTAAGCCATTTTGTCATGGGTACCCACAGCCTGGGTATATTGTTTCTTGATAGTTGATAATGAAATCTTCTGTTAGGATGTGTTCCATGTTGGTACAAGGTTGGGAATTATCACAGGAAATGGTGTCACTAACCTTTAATACCAGCACATGGAAGGCAGAGGAAGGTGGATCTCTTTGAGTTCAAAGCCAGCCTGATTTACATAGTCATTTGGGAATACAGGGAGATCCTGTCTCAAAACAAGACTAAAAAATAATTGGGGAATTATGACTGAAAAGCTTGAAGTCTCCCACTCAGATATTAATGTTCCCATTCATAAGTTTGTGTCAATATTTAAAACACCATCCTTATACAGATTTTACAATATATCAAGATTCAACAAAATATTCTGTCTGAAAATATTTGGAAACTACTTAAATTATAGTTCTTAATCAGGCTCAGGAAATGTCTCAGTGAGTAAGAGTGCCTGCTCTGTAGGCATGAGGACCCATGTAACACTATCATTAGAGGATAAAGTCAGGAAGTTCCCAAGAGCTGCAGGTCAAGGTGCCTAGTAGAAATGACAAACTTTCAGTTCACTGGGGACCCTGTCTTAATACAATAACACTGAGGTCTCTAGAGGAAGATATCCAAAGTCCTGCTCTGACCTTGGCAGACATGGACACCCATACTCACATGCATGTACCACACATACATATACCATACAATGCATAAACAGCATACATAGTTGTAGCCACTAAAATACTTATTCCTCCTATAAATGTAAGCCAGCCAGAGGTGGAGCCTGATGCAGAGAGTTAGCAGCAGAGAGGTAGTACTGGCACCATCTTGGAAGCAGGTGACAGGAGCAGGCGAGCTAGCCTGTGGTGGACTTGGTGGAGCGCCAGGACCTAGCAAGGACCTCGACCTTGAATGGAACTCTGCAAGGTGAGTGGGCATGTAGAGGTGCGAGCTGAGGCACACCATGGGTGAAAGCTATCCAGAGCGTACTGGCTCTGTGTGCTCATTTCTTTGTAAGTGAAATATGCAAAATTCAGATAAAGATGTTTTGTACCAGTTTGTCTACCCACATCAGGAGCACGAGACCCTGAAGAGAGTGAGGGTGGGTCAAACAGAGATGGGACGGAGAAAATTTAGTGAGACAATAAAATAAAATATAAAATAAAAAAAAATAAATTATAGACATTAAACTTTTATCACAAAAACAGGGAACTTGTCTTTTTAAATATTTCATTTATTCTGTGTGGCTCACACATTAAATCCATTTTTTGAATAATGAAATAACTGAAAAGATGAGCTGTTGTTTTAAACTATAAGATAGTCTTTGCTTTTGTTTTAGTCTATAAGATAAATGAGTTTATGATGAGTCTTCAAATAAGGTATGGTGTTTTTATTGTGACAGTAGTAGTTCAAATAACTTTTGAGGAATGCTGTGGAAAAATAATTAGAAAAATTCAGTTTTAGATCTCCCAGATGTTTCCAGAGAACCTCCTCCCCCCAAAACCCCCAGGGACAGAGGTGGATAAACATTGTGTAGTAGTTCCTGATTTGAATATGTTCTTGTATCTGTGAGTCACCCGGAAAGATTCTGAACATAACATAAATGGAACATAGCATTAGTTAAATATAATATCTGTATCAAATTGCATTCCCTTTCTAATTCAGAAAGTTTAATCTGTGTATATGAATGTGTATGTATGTGTAATTAGTATCATCTGGTTTGAGAAATGATGTAGAAATCAAGGAAGTTATAAAACTTGTCACAACATATAATTAACAAGGAGCTGAGCTGAGATGTATATTCTGCTGTGAATTACTCTCTGTCTTCTCTTTTCCCTTAACAACACATATGATATATAAATCAGGTACTCGAATTTTCTCATGGAGCGTAAGAAGAAGATGCAACCTGTAATATCTGTATTTTTATAAATCCTCTCAGCATCAGGAGGTACAGTCTCAAAAGGTTTTGTTTTTCCTATTCATCCTTTATAAATGTCAGAAATCTTGACTTTTCTCATAATTTCCATCCTTCCCCTTATGAAATAAAAGTACAAATAACAAGAAGAATAAGAGTTCTTGAAAAAAATATTTAGTCACTGCAACCTTGTGCCTCAATGACCCTATGGGTTCATTTATTCTTGTGACTTATGTAATGTTCAAATTTTATTTAAGCAAATTTTAGAGTATGATAAAATGAGAGAGGAAATTTCTCAGACTTTAAAAATCAAAACTAGGCCTTATGAGTGTGAAATGTGAAAGAGTAGAGTCCACACCTTATTTCTTTTGGGCTTTATCCTCCAAAACCTCATACTTCTTCCAGTTTATGAATATTTTTTAAATAAAAATTTCCAGAATTATTAAATGTATACAAAATGTCTTAGGAGTAGAACTGAAGTCATTCACAGAATGAAACACCTTTCTCACCAAATTATTCCATCACAGGCTTCCTGTGATGGTAATCAATATGAAAATAAGGATGGAGATGAGATACAATCTAAAATCTTACAGAATGTGTGTGCATATTTGTTGAAGTGGTAGACAAAGACGTAAAACAAGTGCAAAAATAAATCATCTTTTGCAACCCAGAACTCATCTTTTGGTGTGATTTTTGATGCAGTTAAGGAGTATGAAAACAAGACAGCTCAAAGTGACCTGGTAAGGCTGGTTCTAAGAATGAAGACTGATAATTTAAATGCAAAACCCACTCAAAACAAAATATACATTTTCTTTTCTATTATTACTATTGCTGATAGTTTCTTCCCACTTATTTTCATATGTTCTCCCTTAGTCCATATTCTGGCTCAGTTCGAATATACCACTTACAATTTTGGAATGCATGTGCTAAATTTTCTTAAAGTGGTTGGAAAACTTAAATATTTTTATAGCATGCAATCCAAACAATATTCATAAATTCATTTTATTTCACTTTTTGTTTGTTTCTTTGAGACAGGGTCTCCCCATAGCCCTAGCTGGCCTGGAGCTCACTACATAGACCAGGTTGTGCTTGAACTCACAAAGATCTGCCTGCCTCTGCTTCCTGGGTGCTGGGCTTAAAGGCATGTGCCACAACTCCCGGCAGTCACTTATTTTTTAATAATATATATAACTATCTGAAGATATTTGATAAAGAATTTATGTGTTAACCTTCACAATTTAATCAGTGAAAAATACTTTTAATTCTACCCCTATTGCACCTGAAATTGCAAAGTCTATCTCTTGCAAATGCCTAAGACAAAACATATTTTCTTGGGTACATGGTAAGGAAATAAGCTAAAACATTCTTGCACACATGACACATCACAACACATGACAACAAAAAGCTCATTTTTGTAGAGTTCTTTCAAATGTATTCAAACATGGGCTGGAGCGATGGTTCAGCAATTAAGAGCACTAGCACTAGCAGAGGACCGGGATTTGATTCCCAGCACCTACATGACAGCTAACAACTGTCCAGTTTCATCAGAACCCAGTGCCGCCTTCTGACCTCTACAGGCATTGCATGACACAGGCACACTTATACACGTGCAGGAAATACACTCATACCCCAAACTGAAAATAATAAATGTTTTTAAAAAATTGTTTCAAACAACTCTGAGTTGCTTGAAGGAAGGTGAAAAGAAGAAAAGAAAGAAAAAAGAAAGAAGAAAAAATGGATTGGGGCCAATCGGAGGAAGTTCGGGGTAAACAAGACAGGAAATATGGGTAACGAAGTTAATAAGCTTGAGGACCTACCTCTTAAAACGCTGAGAGATATGCTTAAAAGGGGGGGATTGGATTTTTCAGATCCCATAGCTCGAAAGGTTTGGGCAGAGGCGATTCATTTGGCTCCCTGGCTACTTGGGGCTAATGGTTTTACTGGGGACACATGGGAATCATGGGAGAGTTTGAAGAAGAACAGGAAATGCAGCAGAAGTGAAACCAAAAGCAGCCAAAGTAACAAGTGACACCTTTGGCATGCCCTGGCTAGCTTCAGATCCCCCCGGGACCCATGAAAACAGGACCCATGGATGCCTTTTTCAGAAGGGTGGGGCGGAGCAGAGCGCATGGGGTCACAGGTGAAAGCCGCCCACCCGGCCCACCTTGAACTAACACATTAGTGAGTCAGGGGCCACCTGAAAGCCGGGTGGGATTGCAGCGGTGGCCACCAGGCGCATTTTTAAAAATTAAAAAAGTAAATAAATAAAGAAAAACAATAAATTAAAAAAAACACTTTTGGAGGTGTGCTGTGACCGCTGGGTTGGCTGGGAAGGCCAGGCTGGGAAAGGTGGCTCGGGGAGGGGGGCCCCCGCCCCTTCCGTTCAATGGTGGCTGGGAACCATCCTGCCCCTGAGTGCTACAGCCTGGAGGGCAGCTGTGCTTGCCGAATCCCGGGCCGAGGGAGTCCTTACACTATTCAGACTCCCTAAAGAGAGGAAAGCCCTTAAAAAGAGAAAAGCCCCTATTTTCTTATAGTATCTTAGGGGGCACCAAGGATTGCCTGGGCTTTTATCCCAAGGCAAAGCAGAAGGAGGCAAGATGGCTTATTGTGTAGATATACCGCCTCTGCAACAGCCAGGGGTAAGCCCAAGGGGACTCAAGCCCAATTCCTTATGTCAAACGGATGTCACATGCTATGCTCCTTTTGGAAAGCTTAAGTATATGTTCGTGTCCATCGACACATTCTCACACACCTGTTGGGCTACCACTCATACAGGAGAGAAGTCTAAACCTACTCAGTCTCATTTTCTCCAGTACTTTGCAACCATCAAAACCTAAAAATTCAATTATAAAAACGAAAAAGGGGGAATAAGCCCCCACCAACAGTTGGGTATGGCCTTATTCACTATTAATGTTCTTAATTTTCAAAAAAATCCAGTTTCAGAAGCAT